ATGAAAAAAATATAACGGGACAAAGTGAATATATATATGACTTTTTCAAAACTTGTCCGCCCATATCCATTCAAGTTCTTGATGCAGCCTAGAATGTATTTTCAGAAAAGTTGTTCCTACCGGTCGTCTCTATTTTCAAACCACTCCAAGTTGGCCGACGTATTTCTGTCTAGAGAAAATAATATTTTGAGATAACGGGACAAAAAAAGACAAAGTGTCTGTCAAGTCGGTATTTTGCGTATATTTATTAAAGATAGCTTTTTTAAAGAAAAACTAAAGTCAGATTCTGATTCTCTGCACTTTTTTCTACCTAACTGCACTGAAGAAAACGCGAACTTAAACTTTTCGCACTTGAAAAATTTTTTGTCTTCATCAAGAGATGGCTCCAATTTTTGCCATTTTTTCACTTCCAAGAGACATAACCCGAGATAGGAGTGATATCGACTGCTCAAAATTTCAGAAATGTAGGAAGACATGACGAGGAGTATTGTGTGAAATTTTCAAGTCATTCGAAGCTTCCAAACAGGAGATATTCATGATTTAGTACTAATGATGCAATTGTACGAATGAAATGCAATTCACCCATGTATGTGTTTTATTTTTTTCGAACAACTTTTGCGGAAGAAATCTTTAGTTTATCAGAGAGTCCACCTTTCCTGAAAACAACTCATTTTACGAAAATCGATTGATTTTCAAGCTCTTCATTTCTTTTGAATTCTGAGCCCACTTTTTTAACTTCCACGTGAAAAATTAAGTCTAGAAAACTCATTTGAAAAATATGCAGCAAGAGAGTAGTAAGAGAGAAACTAAGCACGAAGGTCAAGGAGAAAGAGCTGTTTGGCTACATTTAATGAGGAAAAAAACACAACGCACAGAATAAAGAAGAAAATACTGTATGGCAGTTAATGAGAGAAAAATACACCGCACTAAATAAAAAACTAAAATACTGTATGGCAACTAATGAGAAAAAAATGCAACACATCAAATAAAACAGTAAAATACTGTATGGTAATTAATAAGAAAAAAATACAAAGTACTAAATAAAAAAAGCAAAATGCTGTATGGCAACTAATGAGAAAAAAATGCAACGCATCAAATAAAAAAGTAAAATACTGTATGGCAGTTAATGAGAGAAAAATACAAAGCACTAAATAAAAAAAGAAAAATATGTTATGGCAGTTGATGAGAGAAAAATAGTGCACATTTTTTCAAAAGAAGGTGAATAAAAACGTAACACCCCAATTGAAAAATTAAACGTTGGGTATGTTCATCAGAGACCTACCACGGTATCCAAAAGTATGTGTGCCAGAGATGAGAACCTCTGGTGATTGTAGAGCATCTGTAGGTGTGATGTAAAAGCGTTCTTGTCACACACTGCCCTTGTAGTCTTCTCCCTACATTGTTCTAGATGATGTCTTCCTCAGTGTGTGTATGCGTGGATTGTTCATTCTGTACGATCTTAGCTGCGCTACATCACTGTCTCCCCTTCTCTCTTGATTAATAAAACTCATACGGATAGCTCAAGTCACATTAGTGCCGTCACTCACCTACCGGCGATCTCAGTAACAGCAGGGAGTGAATCAAGTGATAATACTATGTGGCTACATTCATCTTTTTATTCGCGTCATTACGAGTGTGTGGCCAATCGAACATTGAGAAGTTCTGCGATAAAGAAATTTGACTCTTTACAGTCAGACATACGTGCGCGCGAAGGAGGGTGTGGGTGTGGATGTGGGCAAGGGTGTTGGTCTGCATCTTCTCTTTCATCTAACCGACATCCACACCCACACCCATCTCCAAAAACCTAGCTTGTGTGTAGTACATTGGAATTTGATGAAACTTTGAGACAAAGATCTAAGACAGACCCTCTTAGTATGCAAGCTATTCAGTATTCTTCGAGCTGCAGGTTTCGCACTAGTTTTACTTGGAAAGAAAACATTTTGCCACTTCGGATGAAGGAAAGATGTTGTTCAAAATTTTCTTCGTTCCAGTTTGGGAACGTCCAAACCTAGAAAATCCCCAAATCTCATCTCATGCTCGCTAGAAAATCTGAAGTGTCTCCAACATTGACGATTGATCAGTAGATCTCTCGCCTTCATCCAAAGTGCTAAGCATATGCCTATCAGTAAAAAAAAAGCCACACCTCTGTAGAATGATCTTCATTGAAAATTAACTTGTGCACAGGTCGATCATACCCGTAAAAACTGATTGTGAGAACACGACAACAGAAGGTTTTTTGGGTGTGGGTGTGAGTGTGGGTGTGGGTGTGGGTGAGGGTGTGGGTGTGGGTGAGGGTATGGGTGTGGGTGTGGGTGTGGGCGAGGGTGTGGGTGTGGGTGTGGGCGAAGGTGTGGGTGAGGGTGTGGGTGTGGGTGTGGGTGGGTGGGTGTGGGTGTGGGTGTGGGTGTGGGTATGGGTGTGGGTGTGGGGGATGTGGGGTGTGTGTGAGGTGAGGGTGTGGGTGTGGGTATGGGTGGGTATGGGTGTGGGGTGTGTGTGGGGTGAGGGTGTGGGTGTGAAGAAATTGAAGTTCCATCATCAACACGCACACGCACACCCACACTCACACCCACATCCACACCCTCACCCACACCCTCACCCTCACCCACACCTACACCCACCCACACCCACATCCACCCACACCCACACCCACACCCACACACCCACCCACACCCACACACCCACACCCACACCTTTTGACCAAAATATGAATTCCAGTTTATTAGTCAGACATTAAGAGCAAGGTATTGAATATACAAATCTTTTCAAAAAGCATATTTTATATTGATTACTTCTAACCAAGCGTATGTGATATGATAACTGAATCAACAACTTTTAACCTTTTCATGTTGTCCTATTTTGTGTACTTTCGATCGATTACTAACTCAACTCTTATTTTTATCACATAAGACTCTATTAAAAAAAAATATTGAATTTGAAAATCGTATTCAAAATAATTGATTGTGGGTGTAGGTGTGGGTGCGTGGGTGTGGTGTGGGTGTGTGGGTGTGGGTATGGGTATGGGTGCGGGTGTGAGATGTGAGTGTGGATGTTGGTGGGTGTAGGTGTTAGTGAGTGTGGATGTTGGTGGGTGTGGGTGTGTGCTATGAAGTGCAAAGGAATCCATATGCCCACACACTCACACCCCACACACACCGATACCGACACCCACAATCATACCCATACCCACACCCACACTCACGCCAACACTCACGCCCACACCCTCCAACAGTCCTGATCATAGTTCTAGTAAATCTGATATAGTTCCGGTTCGGGTGCTTTTTAGTTTTTTGCTTTCCAATGTCGGCCTTGTTCTCGTTTTAGAGAAAATTTTATTCACATTAAATCTACAAAAATGTCTTGAATTCTTATTTGTTAGTTTGTTCAGTCGACAAATATTACATTTTTTTTTGATCATCTCTTCTAAATTTTGCTTTGATTAGTGTGATCTTTCACAGACATTCGCTTAAAATCATAAAACTTTTAAATGTAGTGTGTAATTCTAGATTGAACAACTTGTTTCCTCGTAGTTCTAATCCCGTACATTTTTTGCTGCGACGCTATGGATAACTAGCGACATATTTTATTTTGAAGTGTGGATAGATTGCTCATTTCTAGGCGAATTAAACGTTCGTCCGCGGATGCAACGCACGCAGATAGCGATATCTGTATATATGTATATAAATAGCAATTCAATTTTGTATAGCCATTCTTATCTAAACAAATGATTGTGATAATACATGAATAGAATCGTGAGTATCAGCTTTCAAGAGTAGAAATCTATATCTATACAAATAGATATTGTAACCCATACAGTAGTGTATATTTGAGAAGATACTCAAATTATACCGACATTTGCGGATACTTATTTGCATAGCAAAAGTGTATTTAGATCAAGTACTTTGACGGTATTTTTTGAAAATGGATATTTAATCAGATATGGTGGGTTGCCAACGTTTTCCTGATTATTTCCTTCATTGTAAATTTTTTTTTCGAAATTCTATTTTGTAGAAAATCGACCTTGAATAGGCTAGAAGATTTTCAAACTTCTATTATTTTTGTGTAATAGAAATTCAATTTGATTTTCTAAACGAATCATGTTCGAACAACTAGAAAACCTATGCTAGTTTTAAAATCGGTTAAAATTATTTCCAGTTTTATAGAAAACCAATTTGACTTCTAGAAAAATCCAAAATTCATAGAAATTTTCTGGAAAATTATTCAAACAATGATTTAAGTCACACAAGATAAATTCCTAGAAACTTCTTTCAATATATGTTTACGAGAGGTATCGTTAAATAATAATTTCGTTCTATGATCTTCTTAAAATTTGATATATCAAGTACAGCTTGATTTTTTTTCTTATAGTTTCTTGAATATCATATGTCCAAGAAAATAGAAATCCATCATCGAATTTCGATGGGTTTTCCTAGAATATCTTTTTTCTGTTCTCTATAAATTATTTTCTGTTTTACAGTTTTTCGAATTCGGAGATTGAATTCATTGATTTAAATTATTAAAAAATTCAACTTGAAATATTGTAATATCATTCTGATTTTATCCTTTAAAGTTATAGGAAGAATACAGAGACCTCTTTCATCGAATTCCAGCCTTCGGCTTTTATTGGTCCTCGCTGAATATGACTGAACTGTTCTGTTTTTTGTTTCGATTCTTTTTTTCGTCACATGCGACTTGATTAGGAATGGGAAAAAAACCAATTCTATTCTGTTTCTTAGAAAAATATGATATTAGTATTAGTCTGTGATTATAAAATAAATATGTAAATAACAATATTCATTCACGATTTCTAGAAATTATTTTGAAATATATTTCTCTAATGTATCAAAAACATTTTTTTTGTCAGTAGTGATTACAAAAATTATGTTTGATTACTGAATAATATTTGTAAATTTTTCTATTCTATGTAATCAGCGGGTTAATACGTATGTATTTCTCCTTAATTATAAACACTTTTTTAGGAATTGTGTCTGAATTACAGTATGAAACAAACAAAACGACAACGACAAAACAGCAGTTATGCTGATGATAAACAAAAGAAGCTAAAAGACGATCCGGATAAGTCAGTGAAAAGAAAAAAATTCTTTATTTTCTCTTTTCTAAATCTAATTTTTATCTTTCAGATCATCAAGAAAATCTTGCACTCGTTTTGAAGATATTCCAAATGAAATTATCTATGAGATATTCGAATTTCTTGATGTTTATCATATGTACACAGCTTTCTTTAATCTTAATATACGTTTTCAAAATCTTTTTGCTAATTCAAATCTTCCCATAAAAATTAATCTTTCATTAACGTCTAGATCGACTTTTGAACATCAATACAAACCTATTATTATGCTTAATAAACATCGAATAAGTTCACTTCGTTTATCAAATCTATTTACTATCGATATGATTTTTTCACCAATTCGAAATGTATCAAAATTGATACATCTTCAAACTCTTCACATGAATAATATTCAATCCAAATGTATTGAAAAACTTCTAAAATATTTAGCATCTTTACCATGTCTCTCTTCATTGATTATCCTTGTTGTCGATTGTGTTGAAAATAAAAATAAACTTTATCGTCGAATATTTCGTCTACCCGTATTGAAATATTGCAAAATAACAATGACAAAATTTGTTGAATCTGAACCACTATCCATTGCAATTAATAAATATAGTTCTATTGAGCATCTTGTTATAAATAATGGTTGTTATTTGCATGAGCTTATTTCTCTTTTATCATATGTTCCACAACTTCGTCGTCTTTCATTGCGTGATCTATATGGAACTTTCATTAAACAAACAGAATTACATTCAATTGTGTTTAACTATTTGACACATATTTCTATAAATAAAACAAATATGACTTTCGATGAATTTGAATTATTGATTAGAAATCATTTTCCACAAATTCAAAGCTTGTATTTTTCAAGAAATTTCGATGATGAATTTTTAAATGCAAATCGATGGCAACGATTAATTTCATCTTATATGTCACAATTACGTATTTTTGATTGTCATTGTACAATTTCTGCATTTAACGAACGGAATTTCCAAGACCTACTTAATCATTTTAATTCGCCCTTTTGGATTGAGCGACAATGGTTCTTTACTCATCATATTCGTTCGACATCAATGGATAGGTGTAATGGTATGACTATCTTTTCTACCAATCCGTATAGGTTCAAATAACTTTATTTATCTATTACAATATATCTTTATTATTTCTATTTTGAAGGAGAAAATATTACACAATATATGGAGAGAATGGCGACAAATATTGGTCACATGATCAAAAAATTAATTTGAATACAGTCCATTTTGTTCGTATCGAAGATATAAAAGCGATAAATGATTGTAATAATTATTTTCCAAATGCTACTGAACTTACTCTCATCTGTAAGTCTATTAATGAAAATCAAATTCATCTTTCGCCTATACTTAATTCTATTCTTCCTTTAAAACAACTTACTAAATTAGTTTTTGATATTTATCATTATCGCTTTGCAACGATCATTGAACTATTATATTTCACATCTAATATTCATACATTAATACTTAATTGTACATCTCTTTGCGAATCAAGTTTTATATTTATTCAACAACATAAAACTTTTCAATTGGTATCAAAGACAAATAAAATTACTAATCTGATGATTTTAACAGAATGCACATTCGAAGTGACAAAGTTACTTGTTAATCTTTGTCCTCAATTACAACATCTTACAATCAATATAAAAAAGAATGATTTCGCACCAACTTTACGATTTTTATTATCAAAAGATAATCACTGTATTCGCCATTTATTCTCATTGTATCTCCAACATGTACCTGAAGATCAAATTCTAATATTGAACGAACTTATTAAACCAGACAAACTATTTGGTCATTGTTTCATGAAAGTATCAGAAGGTTTCTCGGGCAATGTTTATTTATGGTGGTAACATTGATTGTTACCAACAATAGAATATTTAATTCAGGAATGTTTGTTAATTTTCTTTTCTCGTCACGCTTTTTAAATTGTGTATTGACTTGATTTTTTCATCAAAATAAAAAATATCGACGCATTGAAAATCTTGGTAGATAGAGTCATCTAAAAATAAAAATCAGAACAGCACTTGGTTTAATGCTAATATTTTTAACCACACAGGTATATTAATAGAATATCAACCTACACTTCTGAACCAAAGCTTCAAATAGGAAGAAAAATCAGTTCTACCAATCAATTTGACTCCTCTCACTTTATTCTGTAACTATCATAAGATACTTATACATCAGACCTCGAAACGGGCTGCCCAACCCAAACTTTATTCCTTTTCACAAGAGGGTGTTAGTGTGGGTGTAGATGTGGGTATGGAATGGATGAAGAGAAGATCCACACCCACACCTTCATGAGCAACCAATTCCTATTGAAACAAAACAAAAAGCAGAAAAATATAAGAATCCAGACTACGATTAAATCTCCAAAACTCATCAATAACACAATCAACTTTATATCTTATTCACGACAAATACGTTTTATTACTAATCTGTTAAGCCTTGTTTCTAACATTATTGTTTTTTTAGCTTGCTACTTTTTGAAAAACTTAGTTATCCAAGGATACGTCATTATCTAAAAAGACATCGCCATTGATATTAAACAAATCAGCCTTGAAAATAAAAAGAAATAGCTTTATACCAGTGCATGTTTAGGGTTTTTCGTGAAATACTTTGTAGAAAGATCAGATCTTTCTCAGAAAATATGCAAAACATTTAGGCAGACATTGATATTGTGAATGTGGATGTAGTGTCGATTTTTAACTATTCTCTTTACCCACATCTATTCTCCAAAAGTTCGATCTTCCTTGTTTTCTTTCGCAACATGAAGAAAAGTTCAGTTTCTCCTCTATTCGTCATTGAAGTAATTGCGTCGTATATAATATTTTAACTTTGAAGATTTATCCACAATAATGATAACTGAAGATGTTTGCTAATCACAAGCTATGCAAAAGTGTTACGTACTGTTAGACCATATTGACAACTTCTAAACTAATGAGTTTTTATTTCGTTGGAAAGACAAATGTCTGAACTACAAAATTATTATGTCATGTGTTTTTCCGAAATGAATCGAAGGAGAAAAAGACAAAAAAAACACCTCTAAAAAGAAGTTCTCACAAATTCACTATGAAGTAACATGATTTTCTAATTTTGGTGTAATTTTAAATGTCAAGAGAGAGGGAAAAAAGTGTTTAATCAGCATTTTTATAGTGTTGTTTTTTTTTACACGAAAATAATGTTTTTTCTTTCCTTAAATGACTAAAAAACTGAACGATACTTATTATACAGTTATTTTACAAGATATTACAAATGTTCTTTTTTTAAATTTTTCTGAGAAGTATCTCTGATCTAACACATTTCGAATCAAGGGCGCAAAAAGAATTAAGTTAAAATGTGGTTTTTAGAGATACAGACTATTTCTCTTGCAAATTGCTGATTATTATAAAAAATTCTATTGCATAAAAATTTCATTTTTCAGACGTTTTTAATTAAAGATTTTACAATGGATTTAATATATGTAACCAAAAATAAAATCAATAGAGGTTTTGTTGTGCTACATTTTGGTGTATTAGATTTTTCTGATAACTTCATCCATGTATTTCAAAATAATTGTATAATGTAGACGTATGAGATTTCAAGAAATTGTTGAAATGTTTAGTTTTTTCTTTCGCAAGTTGAATTTGGAAAAATGTATATAGCATAAAATTTGTACTTCAAGCATTACTTTCTTTAATAAGTAAAAAAAATTCATTAGTCTCGAAGTTGGCAATATGGTTTGATAATGCTTTACATTTTTGCAAAAAATTATGCATCGCATCTTATATAAAGGAGATCAACATATGATTATCTATCTTTATTTAATATAAGTTTTTCATTAAAATGACAATTAATATTTTCATCAATCGTCGGTTTTCTCCTCATGTAAATCATTTAATGTTTCATCTCCTTCAGCAACATCCATTAAACTTAATAATTCCAATTGTCCTTGTCCACGTGTTTCACTACTCAATAAATCGTCTAATTCCCGAAATACACCTGGATCAATTGAACAGATTAATTGCATTGATGAACCAAGAAACTCTTCATTATCAATATGTGGTGTCGTTGATAATTTATGCATTTTTTCTTTAAATTTTTTTGCATCTTTAGCTAGAAAAACAAGCTTCATGGTATTAAAAAAAATACAAAAATGTCTTTTTTTTTGTTAGACCTGATATTGTTAATTGTACACGCATTTGTGCTTGTTGAATGGGAATATTATTTGATTGTTTCAATTGACGAATAACATCAAGTGCCTAAATTAAATTCTTGAATAAATTTACAAGACATCACGAAATAATTTCAACCTGTTGTTTAGCATTTCGATTAGGATTAACACTAAAATGAATATCTCTCATTGCTTGTTCAATCATCGATATAGTATAAGGACGTTTTGTCTCTGGATTGACACATTTTCCACTAACAAGTGATGCAATTTCTTTAAAAGTATTTTCTAGATGTTGAGTACGTTCTTTATCAGATACTTGTAATTCACCTTTTTCTAAAATCTATTAATAGAAAAAAGAAACATTTATTTTTCATCAAAAATAAAATTTTACTTCAAGACAAATTTTTGTTTGATCCTCAGTGTTGAATGCACTGATTAAATCTTCTTTTTTAGCTGCTTGACCTTTAGATACATTTGAAAAAACAGTATGAGTTTGAAGAACTTCATCCAAATCTTTTTCTCTGAAAGAAAATTTTTCGTATTAGAAGATTAGTCAGAAAAAAAAATGGCATACTCTTTATTTCTCCATGAAACAACTTTGTTTCGATAACAAGCAATTTCAAAACGTTTGCCAGCTTTTTTTAATCGTACAGTAGCTATATTTGTTAGACGAATTTGATTTGTGGGTGTAAAGATTTTTGAAGCCATTTAAAAATCTAAAAAGAAGAAAAATTTAAAGTTTTTCTTTAAATTCAACCTAGCCACAGTAGTTTCTGAAAGTAATCTGAAGAAATTTTGATTTTTATATCTATAAAATTTATAATGACGTCAGAGATTTTGCAATTGTGATTATTTCATTGGTACACTGATCATTCAACTACAATTTTTATATATAGAACAAACCAGTTGAATAGAAGATTGAAAGATGTCGTCGTAACAATGAAAACAAAGCGAAGAATAATGAGTCATTTGCGATGTATAGACAGAAAAATAAATTTTTATTTATTTCGCAACCTATGTGTTTGATTAAAATTGAAAAAATAGTTTATTTAACATGTTCAATTTGACTTTGATGATGTTTTAGTTCATTCTTGGACAATAGTGCTTCGATTGAAAGACTACCATTTTCTGTATAACTTTGTTTCGCATCATCAATTTTAAGTTTTTTCGAAAATGTATGTTTGAGAAAATTAATGATGAGAATAACTTTTATTTGCCTTGAGAAAATTAATTAAATATTTAAGAAACGATATTTTTTAAAAGTTATCCTCTTCTAAATAACACAAAAGAATCAGAGATGATTAATTGATTTCCATCAAATGATTAATTAATTAATTAATGGACGGTTTGTTTTTAAATATTGAAAATAATTATTAAATTATTGTTGCATTCGATCGAATTCTTTTCCCGAACATTGAAATACATTTGATGCTGAATCAAAACATGTTAGTAGTAAATCTTGACGACGATGATGATGAAAACAAAGATGACCTACAGAATCACTCCTACTATGTATTATGGATAGACCACTTAGATTAGTTGATGTAAAAAGACGTGAGATAAGATACGAAGGTGTCTATGGCATCAGACTAGGACGATGCAATGGAGAGGAGTTCTAGGTATCTTGAGTACAATCAAACTTAGATCTGTTTGACTGAGTTATGTCAAAATGTCTCTGAAAAAGATGACGTTGAAAAGCAAGCTCTCAAATATTCTTAAAGATTGTCATTAGAGATCCAAACCGATCATTGAGCCTGCCTAACACAGCCATTGACCAAATAGAGCGTATGTTTCTTCTATTTTAACTTAAATTGTCAATAAAAAAAAAGTTAATTTTTTTGAGCAGAAAATTTATTTATTTACAATATACAGCTGAGTGCTTTTGGTACTGAAACATGCGAAATTATTCTTTTATAGTACCATTTTGACTACACACAATCCTGACTAATAATAGATTTTGACTACATTGTTCATTCATTTATTTGTGCGTTTTGGTACGGTATTGTTTGCATATTCTAATTGATTATTATTTTTATTCTCTTAATATCTTCGATTCTGCTATGTCCTCTTCAACGAGCTTATTAAAATCATTCAAAACATTTTCACTCAAAACCAGTCTTTTCTACATGTTAATATTTTTTTGTTGCCTATTCGCAAGAGATGAATATTTTCTTAAATCAATCAATATTTCGTAGGACATAAGAAAATCAAGCCTGATCGAACTTCTGTTTTTTAATATATGGCAAATAAATCTATTAATGATTGTAGAGACATGTGGGGTGAATGTAGAGGCTTTTTTTGTATTTCCACCTTTCAAGCTTTATATCTTCGTCATTTTTGAAGATAGAAAAAACTTTTCTGCACAAATAATGTAGGGCAAACATTTTTCTTTAATTTGCCATTTTCAGATTTCAAAAATCTCGTCGAGAACAGACTCTACAGCGGGTGTGGGTGTGGGTGGATGTGAGTAATATTCTTCTTGTCTTCACACCCATATCAAAGGAAAAATACTTTATTCACAAATTTTCCTATTCCCATGAGTAGATTCTGAGAAAAAAAATGACAGAATAGAGTTCATAAGAATCAGCATCACATACTTGTGAGTACTATAGCCACTATACAAACTAAGATATCGATTCTATTGTGCTAAAATTCTTAATATTATTATATTTATTACAAGCATTAAACAGTCAACATCAG